CACAGGGAGTAAAAGAAAAGCCAGTCACACACATGCATTTTCAGAGAGCTCTGAGGGACGGGGCTTTGACCAGAGCCCACGGAAGCACGCAGGCCAAGGAGGACTCAGGAATTAAGAGGCTGCCGGAAGCCCGTATACCCTCCCCTTCCTCTCTCTTGCCACTTTCCACTCATGGTCTGGTCCCTTCTGCTGCATTCTGAGTGTGTGGGGGTGGGGCATGCAGATGCCACATGATGGATGTCACTCAGAGACTGGGCTGCAAAGCCAACAGGCTCCTCACAGCGGCAGAATCGCCTGAGAAACCTGGATCCAAAGCGCCCCTTCACGTGCCGTGTGTTTAGTTGGCTGGGCCCGAGGAAGGAGGTGGCTTGCACTTGGAGGCTGTGGAGAGTGTACAATAAGAGATAATCAATATTAGGATCACAATTTTTGAAGCAAAATGCTCGCACCACGACGAGCAGCAGAGACGGAGGGGACGAAGGTCCGTGGTGCCTTGTCATGGGTGTACGTCCCGGGGGAATACGTCCCGGGGCAAGGTGTCAGGTGAAACTGCTCACGTGGTTTAGGTCCCCTCCCTCCTCTCTCTAACAGAATAGAATTGCCTGTAGGTGAATTAAATGCTCAGCAGGTGAGATGAGTCTGATGGCTGTGGAGGTGTGTGCAACTCAGGGTCCCAGGCCCCCGGCGCAGGTCCCTTCCGCATACCAGGCCTCTGATGTGCTGCTGGGGGGGGCAGGGTGGTGGGAGGTGACACAGGGTGTGCGGAGCCGGCTCCCCCGGCTCCTGAGAGCTGGCTGTGCAGCCTCTGGAGAGAGCGTTCAGGACTCTGCTGGGGCAGGGGGCATTGCCCACACCCACCCTTGCGCAGGGAAGCCTGATGCAGGGGCATCTGTTGTGAAGCCGAGTGGAAGGGGTGGGAGACAAGCTGGGGGCTCCTGGTGGGCGGTATCAGAGCCGTTTGGAAGATCAAGTGTGAGTGTTGGTAATCTAAGAGGCAGCTTTTTCAAACTGCTGGAGCTTCATTGTACCAGAGACTGATAATTGTCTTCCCAACGTCCATTCTTTCCTTCCTCCTCAGCCTCGGGGTCCTGGATTGCCAGGGAGACAGAGTGTCCAGCTAAGAGACTATATTGCCGGCCTCCCCTTCTGGTAGAGGTGGCCAATGAGATGGAAGCTAAAGGACTGGAAGAATTTGGGGAAAATCTCCTCAAATGGGCTGACTTGGGCAAGAGGAATATTTTCCTGTCTTCTGTCTTTCCCTCTTTTTTCTGACGGTAACATGATGTGGCGGCTAGGGTACAGTCCCTAAATGACACATTCGTATTTCATTTTTCACTAGAAAAATGGAATAAAATTTGTTCTAAGTTTGCTTTGGGAGTGGAGGTGTATATGCTTTCTTTTTTTAAAATGATAAAAGCAATATGTTCCCCTTATTTGTCAGGAAGCCAAGTTCAGCGAGAGCCAGGCTGGCTGTCACAGTGTGAGGAGCCCATGGGCCCGTCACCCACTGACTTGGTTTCTCGGCTCTCCAGGCTACGAGCTGCCATGTGGGGTGAGAGAGACTCTCGGGGCATCTACGCTGACTGGCTCACCTTACCCTGGAGAGTGAGTGAGTCTCCATTTCTGTCCGTAGCACCAGGCAGCAGGTGTGAGGTCCCCTCTGAACTTGGGGTAAAACTGGGTGTGGTGCAGATGGGCCCAGACCAGCATGTAGCCCTTAACTCTCACTGCCAGTTGACCTCACCCAGTGAAACCACGCCCCGGGGCGTTTCAGATGGCACATGCCGCACTTCAGGGGCCCTGAAGAGAGCTCCTACTCATCCACTGCCAGGCCCGGCTCCCGCACTTCCTCCAGAGGAGTCCCAGCTCCCTTCCGGCGCCCCCTGCGTGGTTCCGGCTTGTCACAGATAGAGGCAGCAGGAGGTGGCTCTCCCCTCACTGCTCCGCGAGCTGGGGCGAGGACTAACGTAGTCATGCATCCCAGCTTCCCTTGCAACTAACGCAACCAGGTAACTGTATTCTACCGCAGGGAACATGAGCCAAAGCGACCCCACACCCTGCCCACCCGAGGAGGCGCATTCACAGCAGCAGAAGCCTGAGAAGAGAGGCTGCTGCAAGCTCGGATGGGAGAGGCTGGCTCCCAAGAGACTGGGTGCTGGCATGGACAACAGTGAGACCAAATCTGACAACAGAACCGGCCTGAATGGTCAGGGCGTGGCCCATGACGCCAGCATTCCGGTTCTTATGTCTCTGCCTCCAGCTCAGGACCGACCTGAGAGGTCACATGTACCTGCCAACAAGCACACGGAATGTCCTGCCTCTAATCAGCCCGCCGCCGCCAGCTGACACCCCCCCCTCCTCCCTCAGGGCACACCAGAGGTCACCACGGACTCCTGGCTCTCACAGCTCTGAGTCCGCGGGCTCTTGCGCTCCTTTGGGTGGTCTCTGTCCATTTCCGCTGAGTGCAAGGCCGGTGCTGAGCACCGGGAGGGAGGGAGCCAGAATCACTGCTTCTGCGGAAGCACCAGGCTCCCTGGACTGGTAGTGAGAGAGAAACACACTTCTCACTGCACACACGTGCGCGCGCACACACACACACACACACACACACACACAGGCACGCATGCATGCACACACGCACACACGAATATTTGGAACTTGTGCAAGCTTTTCCTGGGGAGGCCTGGGCGAAAGGGTGCATTTGTCCTGGAATAAGAATCAGATTTTGCTGAGAGATTCCTGTACACAGGTGTCACCTATTTAAACTAGGACTTCCGAGGTCTCGAGCGTCTTTCATTGGCATGCGATGAGCCCTATGCTGATTACAGGAGACTGACTGCTCGTTCGAGCAGGGGCTGCTTAGCCTGGGGATGCTTGCAATGCAAAGAATGGCTGCCTGTGTGCACACAAAACTCGGAATTTTCACCTGTTGGACTGGATTCTCCCGAGTCAGGATAAAGAAGCAAATCTCCCCAACTCTTTCTTGGGGGTTTTCTTTGTCCCCGTGTCACTCTGTCTTCCTTTGGATACAGCTTTGACCCCCAGGTGGACAGGACCACAGGACACCGATAGCTTTGAAGGAGGAATGTAAGGGCAACTCATTAATGTCCACGTACAACGCATCCTTCAGGCCACCGAGGTTCAGGGCCCAGCTCCAGGGAGGCAGCGGCTCGCATGGGCCTCGCTGTCCCTTTGCCAGGCCTGCGGGGGTACGCAGAGGGGCCAGGCTCCCAAGACTGGCTTCTGGGTATCTGGTCACAGTTATCTGCCTTCTGAGACATGCCGGGGATAGGAAGAGGGGCCGAGACACAAACTGATGTTTTTTGTCTCCTACAGCCTTTTAAGCCAGCCTCTCATTTCCAGGGAACTTGCATGATGCTGATGCAGCAGACAAAGCAAAGTGGCCCTGAGGTCCAGCACTTTCCTGGCCACCGTGGGCACTGTGGAGCTAGCTGGTCCTTGGGACACTCCAGTCCACGCCTCCAGGCCCCCCACACCCACCCACCGGCTCACACATTCATTCATCCAACATGTTCCGTGTGCCTACGATGTCTTAGCCGGCTACCAGCTTTACCCTGTAGACAGTCATGTGACCAAACAGGGACGCTCTCATCTGATAGAAGCTGTGGCTGAGATGTGTACAAGCTTCCCAGTGCTCACTGAAGAGCGGGCAGAGAACTCAGAGTGGTCAGGGAAGGTCCCACAAATGCCCGGCAAGGGACACGAGTGCAGTCTTATGAGAGCAGGGAGTTTCCATTTACTGGAGACATGGGGTGGGGCACAGGCCAGCCAAAGGCATGAAAGAGCCAGGAAAAGGCCCAGAGGTCTGTGCGGTGGAGCAGAGGGTGAGGGAGGAGAAGCAGGAGATGACCCAGAAACTGTCACCTGGCTTACCTTGGCGCCACTTGAACTTCACTCTGAGGTCACCACAGCCGGGCTGATACCCATGCCCTGGGGCAGGAGAGGGTTAAATCCGTGGGGAGGGCCGGGTGGGGACTGGAAGGCGGAGCAGCCCTTCGCTGCTGCTCTGGCGTGCAGACTCTGTGCAGCAAGCTTCCATCAAAAATAAACCCAACACTGGTATTTTTATACAAACCCTCCTAATTTTTAAATGTTAGAAATTATTCCACAATATCCTGCTGGCCCAGCAGATGTGTATCTGATGTCCTCTCAGCCCTTGGGCCCCGGGATGTAAGCCTCAGGAGGAATACAGCCAGGCTTCTGCTTCAGCAGCATGGCGTGCAGCCTGGGTGCGGTTCTGCTCCAGCTCCCAGCAAGGGCTTCCTTCCCGGCCTCCTCACTTCGCCGGGACCCCGTCTCTCCCTCCCTCCCAGCCCGCCCGCTCCAGCCACCCTGCCTGGAGGCCCTGAATGAACCAGTGCTCCTGCCGCTCACAGAGAAGGGCCAGTGCTCGGACACGAGGGAGCCGTATTTATTTCACATGGACAGGCATGTTCTGTTGCATGCTGAACATGAAAGCTCGCGTGAGGCAAGTACCCGTAACAGCAGAATTATGTGCTTTTGTCCACAGGGAGCAGGGAGGTCACCAAGTGCTCTTCAAAGACTGCCGCCTTCGGAAGCTCCAGTCTGGCCCCTCATCGGAGGGCCGTCTCCTCACAGGCCCCGGCCGCGTCCGCGCTGCGGCTCTGGCTGAGCTGCTGAGGGCAGAGGACGAGGACGGTGGCCGTGGCCGGGCCGCCAGCGGGGCGGGAAGCTCACAGGGAGGTACACGGCACTCGGAAGCAGCAAGCTCACTCTGGGGGGACAGCGACAGGGACAGCCGCTGTGCTCACCGCGGGCCACAGCGCACCCAGGGGGAGACCCCTCCTCTGCAGCGGCCTCCGGCGGCCTGCGGGGAGCCCGGGCCGCGGGGCTGGGCACCCTGGTCCCGGGCTGACGGAGCCCAGCAGGAAGGCGCTGGAGCCCGGGCTGCGGGGGGAGCGGGCCGCAGGCCCTAAGCACAAACCCAGGCAGAGGCGCATGGGGACGGCCGGGGAGGCCTACTCCCACCGGAAGTCCTGGCCCACGGTCTCATAGAACTTGAGGTTGTGGGGCCTGTAGAACTCCCGCAGCTGGTCTATGACCTCGGGGTCGATCTGCACGTGAGCCCTGCCCTTGGACTTGCCCAGACACCGGGGCAGGAGGCTGGCCTCGGTCCTCCGCAGGCAGGGGAAGCCCTTGGTCTTGTTGAAGTAGAAGTGCTTGTCGGTGAGGAAGCGGCGGATGCCCAGGAAGTCCTGCACGCGCCCCATCTCGCCCGCGGGGTCGGTGATGAGCCGCTCGCCGCTCACGAAGTGGATCTGCGCGCGCGGGAAGTAGCGCAGCCAGCCCTCCAGGTGCAGCGCGTACAGGCCGATGCGGATGGCGTTCCAGGACACGTCCACCAGGCCCAGCGTGCGGTTCCGGAAGGACAGGCCCTCGAAGGTGGGGATGTCGGGCTTCTTGGACAGCGTCTGGGTGTAGTCGGAGATGGCGCGGGTCACCGGGTTCCGCACCACCACGATCAGCTTGGTGTCCCGCGACATGTTGAAGATGCGCCGCGGGGCCTCCTGCGTGACGAAGTAGCTGGGCGTCTTCTCCAGCGTGATCTGGCTCTCCAGCGTCCGCGGCATGAGGCTCCTGCGGGCAGAGCAGCGGTTAGACAGGCTGCGGGGCGGGGCGGGTCCGCTCCCTGCTCCCAGCTCCCTAGGGGGCGCCTCTCTCCCCTGTGCCTCTGAGGCCCGCCTGCTCTCACCTGGCGAGGAATCTGCTTTTCTACTTGATTATTTTTAGTCTTTAACCAGTTTGCTTCCAGACAGGGAGCGCCTGTCAGCATGAGTTAAATAAATGCTGGAATAGCAGTTAACACAGTGGGCAGAGCTCTGTGCACCAATGTAGCGTGACTTCCAGGATGCAGCATGAAATGAAAACGGGCGAGGCAGCATCCAGGGAAACTGACAAACGCAGGGGATTCTGGGGAGAGCCAGGGAGGGGGCAGGGGTGAAAGAGAGTGACTTTTATTGTATAACCTCGTACTTGAGACTGTTAACGTGGTTATTACATATTCAAAAGTTACAGAGGAGCACTAGCTGGTTTGGCTCAGTGGATAGAGCATCCGTCTGCACCCGAAGGGTTGTGGGTTCCATTCCAGGCACCGGCACATCCCTGGGCTGCAGGCTCCTCCTCTGCTGGGCCCTAGTCAGCTGTGCAGGAGGCAACCAATCCACGTGTCTCTCTCACATCACTGTTTCTCCCTGTCTTTCCCTCTCTCTTCCACTCTCCCTAAGGGGAAAATATCCTTGGATATTAAAAAAAAAAAAAAAAAAAAAAAAAGATACAGAGGAAGGTATCGAATATTGTTTTGGCAAAAGAGATTTCTCCAAATATGTTAGAAAATCTGTTTGGGAGAAACGGCTGGTTTTGTGGGTAGAGCAGGTATTTTAGAAATGAGTTCTAACCACTACACTGCACACCTGAAACTAATATAAATAATATTGAGCATCAACGGTAATTGAAATAAATCAGTAAATAAATAAATAAATAAAGTATCCCTCATCACCAAATTGACTGGGAACAAAGCAAAGTCTCAGCACTTTCTGTGTGAAAAGAGGAAAGAAAGCGTTCTTTTCCTGCTGCACTGCCTCCCCGGGAGGAAGCCCTCACTGCGCCAGCGGCCGAGCAGGCGGGCTGCACCTCTCACTGCCCGGCTTTGCTCTCCAGGCTCTGCCTGCAGGTCCCGGAGATGGTGATGGACCTCCCCAAGCTGTGTCTCTTTCAGACCTGATGGTGATGGACCTCCCCCAGCTGTGTCTCTTTCAGACCTGATGGTGATGGACCTCCCCCAGCTGTGTCTCTTTCAGACCTGATGGTGGGGACCCCCTGGCTCAGGGTTGTGACTTCTGTCTGGACGTCATGTGTTACTGTAAGCTCATTTTTCTAATGCTGGCTGCACATTAGACTCCAAGGGGTAAAACATACGATGTCTGGGCCCATCCGGGACTGGCTGCTTAAAGCTATTTGGGTGGATATTTTTAAAGCTCCTCAGATGGTTCCAATAGAGGTTCTCACTCCTGACACTATGACTGACCAACCCCAAGGCATTGGTCTGCACATTCCTCTGGAACATAGACTCCTGGCTCCCAGTCTTCTTCATCCCAGACCCTATCAGCATCCCCACTCAGTGACCTGGCTTCAGAGCCCTCGGACTAACTGTCTCCTTCTTCTCTTCTCCTTTAGCAGTTCTCACTCCTGGCCATTCCCTGGATCCTGTCATTGGAACTGCCCTAATTCTGACATGGTTCATCCTGGAATTCCACTCTAGGATGAGGTAGTGGGTTGAATGGTGACCCTCGGAAAGAGGTGTCCGCTAGGAACCTATGAAGACCTCATGTGGAAAAGTCTTTGCAGATGTAAGGTGAGGGTCTGGAGGTGAGGTCATCCTGGATTAGGATGGGCCCAAAGTCCGGTGAGGAATATGCTTCTAAGACAACAGAAGGGGGAGAAGAGACACACAGAGGAGTCAGTGTGAAGACAAAGGCAGACCATGGAATGATATAGCTGCTTCCCAAGGAAAAGAATAAACTGCCATCTTATTTTTTTATGCATTTACCACAGTATCAACTCATTATACCCGACCTTCAAATTCATCTATGATCTTCTTTATTTTTAAAAAAATATATTTTATTGATTTTTTACAGAGAGGAAGAGAGAGGGATAGAGAGTTGGAAACATCGATGAGACAGAATCATCGATCAGCTGCCTCCTGTACACCCCCTACTGAGGATGTGCCCACAACCAAGGTACATGCCCTTGACCAGAATCGAACCCGGGACCCTTCAGTCCGCAGGCTGACTCTCTATTCACTGAGCCAAACCGGTTTTGGCTATGATCTTCTTGATTTCACTTTCTTGCATACCTTTTCTGGACTAATGAACAATCATTTCAGTTCCTCCTCCTCCTTCTCCTTTTTTTTCCTCCTCTCCCTCCTCCTCCTCCTCCTCCATTTCCTGTACTACTTGCTCTTCCAGTCCCTAATAATGCATCCTCCCAGCCTTTCATCATTTCTAATTCTGTCTCTGGGTTGCCCAACAGCAGGAGAGAAAACTGGATCCTTCCTATGGTTACTAATTCTATCTTCACTTGAGCCTCACCACTGCTCAGTAATTTGGCACATTTGTTTTTACAGCCCCTTATTGTTCTCCAGAGTAGGTGCTCCAAATTCTCACCACAAGCACCCGCCCTTAACACACAACCAGTCTCCCAGTGCACGAGGAAGACATAAGCTGTCATACCTTCAACTTTTCTCTCCTCCATCCTGCCACTATTGCCCACACCATCCCTGCACCCTCCCCTGGTCTCTGGGGAAGAGGCAGGCAGGAGCTCCCTGTCCACCTGCACTCTCAGATCTCTCCCTCTGTGCCTTCCCTGCAAGCCTGCCTGTTAGCCCCTTGAATTTTCAGTCACTGCGCATCAGATAGGCAGACACAACTGCTATTTTGTTTCCAGGCCCGGTGTTCATAATGAGCCTGTGTGAGCTTAAAGTCTCCATAGTGTTTATTAACACGGAGAAGGCCACTTTTTAATCGGCTATTGTTATTAGCTAACAGTCACATACATTTGAATAGAATCTTCTGGTCAGCTTTTCTTATATATCTGGCTATGTCAGATTATGACCCTGGAATACATTGTAATTACATGTTGGCCTTTATGATGAAAGTAGGCAGAATTACATGAATGTGAGAGTACATTTAAACTTAAGGACGTCAAACTCCGTGTGGGTTATTGATATAAAGGCAATCCCCCAAACACAAATAAGTCGACTTGACGAGCCATGAAACAGATTTCCCTTGAAAACACTAAAGACTGCGGAGAGGAAGTGGGGACAGCATTCCCGAGCTTATGAGACTAACGGGCGATGAGCTTTGCCAGGAGCGCTGTTGCCATAGGGGCCATTCCGACCAGTCCCAGTGGTCTGCAGAGCATCAGCCATCCTGGGTTCTGAACGGCAGGGCAGCTCCATGTCTCCAGTTCCTAATGGCACGTCAGCTGCAGGGTCTCCCTCCCTCAAACACAGAGGGAGCTCTCACCAGACCGCAAGCCTGGGCCAAATGGCTCCTGTGCACCTCAAATATTCTCTCCCCCCAGAACACCCTACAAGGTATGTCTGCGAGGCACTGGCACAGGGCGGCACTGGCACAGAGCGCCGAGCCTGTGGGAGGGGAGCGTGCAGAGCCTGGCTGTGCGGCTCCCTGCTCGCACATGTGGGCTGGGTATACACTTTTCCTTAAGGCTCATTTTCCCTCTTCAAGTCATTGTTTAAATTTCATTTACTTGCTTCCAGCTGCTAACATACAGTTGAATTTTTCTCTCAGCCTATAACCTTCTTAAGCTTCAGCCTCCTTTATTCTCTATGGAGCTTTGCAAAAATTACTGTAATGGTCAGACACTCCTCCTTTGGACTTACCTCCCACCTGTTACTTTAACCTGCTCAGCAATGATTTCTCTACATCTGATATGAGCCCCCTGATTTTTATTTGAGGAACCACCACTCCTGCTTTGGATAAAATCTTGATGGGCCAAGAGGTGGATGCATGAATGAAGTTAGGCCAATCAGTGCCAATCCTATCTAATAAAGAGGGAATATGCAACTTGATCGTCACACCAACACAAAGATGGCGGCGTCCAATCCCCTCAGCCCCGCCAGAGTCCCCCAGTCCTTTCAGCGGGGAGGGGATGGGCAGGCAAATGGTGTGGCTGGATCCACCCCAGCTGCCCAGGGCTGGCCTTAGGTGCAGGCAAGCCTCGGATGTCGGCTGCCCAGCCAACCAGGGCCGCCCAAAGCTTGTGCTGCCAGCAGTGGCAGCAGCAGAAGTGTGATGGGGGTGTCGCCTTCTCCTGATCATCAAGTTGCCTCCCATCCTTGAGGGCTCCCAGACTGTGAGAGGGAACAGGCCAGGCTGAGGGACCCTCCTCCAGTGCATGAGTTTTCATGCACTGGGCTCTAGTTGTGTTATAAGGACTAACAATGGGCCATCAAGACTAAAATGTTTAGCTGAACCGGTTTGGCTCAGTGGATAGAGTGTCAGCCTGTGGACTGAAGGGTCCCGGGTTCGATTCTGGTCAAGGGCATGTACTTTAGTTGTGGGCACATCCCCAGTAGGAGGCGTGCAAGAGGCAGCTGATCGATGAGTCTCTCATCGATGTTTCTAGCTCTCTGTCCCTGTCCCTTCCTCTGTAAAAAAATCAATAAAATATATTATTAAAAAAAAAAAAAGACTGAAATGTTTGGACTCAACATTCCCACCAGGTATAGGGGCTTGGAAAAGCCTCCTCGTCAGCTTCTCTTAGCAAATCCCTGCAGTGATCTTAGTTCTGGCCCTGGTTCTCCCACTTCTGCCTGCATTCTATGCATTATGACACCTCCTTCTAAAAAGGTATTTGCTATTTTATATTAGTCATAGTTGGTAGCTGTTGCTTGCAACCCAATAACCTAACTTACTCTGGCTTCCTCCAGGTGGGAGCGATGCTCACCCACTGAACGTAAACTCCGCGAGGGCAGGGGGCACTTTCCCTGCACCTACATCTCCAGGGTCTGCCATAGTCCATGACACATAAAGGCTCCATCGATATTGTTGAGATTA